ACCTCCAACTCCTGGGCTCAAGCGATCCTCCTGCCTCAGCCTCCCAAGTAGCTGGGGCTACAGGCACACACCACCACACCTGGCTAATTTTTCCATTTTTTGTAGAGATGGGGTCTCACTCTTTCTCAGGCTGGTCTCGAACTCCTGAACTCAAGCAATCCTCCCGACTCGGCCTCCCAGAGTGCTAGGATTACAGGCATGAGCCACCGTGCCCAGCTCCTGGCTAATTTTTTTTTTAATTTTTGTAGAGATGGGGGTCTCGCTATGTTGCCCAGGCTGGTCTCAAACTCCCAGCCTCAAGCATTCCTCCTTTCTTGGCCTTCAAAAGTGCTAGGATTACAGGACTGAGCCACCTCACCCAGCCTGCATATCTTGAGTATACTAAATGCCACTAAATTGTACAATTTAAAATGGTGAGTTTTATGTTAGGTAAATTTCATCTCAAAAAATAACATAAAATAGGTTTGGAATGTGTTGAATAAACAAAACGAAACAAAACAAAAAAATTATTAAAACAGACAGCCCAGCTAATAGGCTGTGGTTTGCTGACTCCTGCTCTGTGACATCTCTTAACAAAACCCAGAGCTAGGTTGGGTGCGGTGGCTCAGGCTTGTAATCCCAGCATTTTGGGAGGCCAAGGCGGGAGGATCTCTTGGACAACAGAGGGAGACCCTGTTTCTAAAAAACAAACAAACAAAACCCAGAGCAGAATAAAAAAACACAGGCACCTAAAATATTGGCTCAGAGCCCCACGCAGAGTAGTTTTCGTTGTTATCGTCAGGGTCTCACTGATGCTACCACAGTGAATCAACTCTGAACTTGAGCCCAAGCCCAGCCCTGTCCCAGGTTCCTTCTCGTCTGGCCTGATCCCAGCCCCGCTAGAGAGGCAGGGCGCAGGGCTCTGCCTGTCTGTGCCCAGCCTGCCTCCGTGAGAGCTGGCCCCACGCCCTAGTCAGTGGCTACTCTCCGGAGACCCCCGGTATGTCGCAGCCTGGAGGGGCCTCGACCTCCCCTGGCAAGTGGGAGGGAAACTGAGGTAGGGGGTGATTCATCGTGGGATTCCCAGCCTTCCTGCTGCCTCCCGGGCCCAGCCCAGCCCAGGTGCGTCGGTATGTGGGTGCGCGAATGTGTGTGCGTGTGTTTCAGAGCCCAACCCCAACCCCAAACTGACCCCACATCCTCAATCGGGTTTGGTTTTCCGTGCATGTAGCAATCCCTCCCTGCCACCCACTTGGTCCTGAGCCTGTGCTGGGCACTTCGGAGCACCCTGAGAGAATCTGGCATCTCCTAGTCTGGGGGACACAGAATTGGACAGAGAAAGTCCCAGCCCTGCAAGCACAGGCCTTGGACAAAGGAAGGAACCCCAAGCCACAGAGCCGGGAGAAAGAAAGGGGAGCAAGGGGCAATCGGGAAGGCTTCCTGGAGGAAGAGTTCTGCCCCAGAAGGTCACATATCCTAGGCAGACCCTGTGAAAAATGCTGGCCACCTGGGACATGCCCTTGGCTCGACACAACACACCCTCTGCCCCGACTCCCAGCTTTAAAAGGAAATCGACACTGCCCAGCTGGCTCGCCCGTGAATTCCTGGGTGTGAAATAGCACTCAGGCCAGTCTCCAAACACCGCTCCTTCACGAAGGGTCCTAATTACTCTCGTCTGACCCAAACCTGGGCTGGCGCCCTGGAAGCCTCAGCCTGGGATATTGGAAACACGCACTGGGTTTGCAGTTGCACCCTATCCTGGGTTCTAGCTGTGTGACCTTGGGCAAGTTACCTAACCTCTCTGAGCTCAGCCTCCCACTGGGCAAAATGAGGATAAATGGGGGGCAGGGATTAAATAAAACCACAAGGGCCCCCCACAACCCCTGTCAGTAGGGAGAACAGAGGGGCAAACCCAGGGTCCACGATGCTGAATCAAGGTCATTCCCAAATCAGGTGGGAATCTCACCAAGTGGGGATCGCACATGAGAGGCACCCCTCCACATCCTGGGGGCTCCACCCTGGCGGAAACAGGGCAGAACTAGGGCAAGACCAGCGAGGTGAAAAGACAAGATCAGAATTTCTGATTTTTCCTTTTGCCTTTGGCTCCAAAACGTCTCAGCACAGCACGGCTACTGATCCTGTCTTTATTTAAGATCTTAATATCGTGTTCACCATCACTGCTTTGCACTCATGTTGAATTTTTAAGACATTGCATTACAAAAAAATATTTATCTCAAGAGATGAGAAGATAAGCCACCGACCGGGAGAAAATACTGGCAAAAGACCCATCTGGGAAAGGACTGGTCTCCAAAAAAAAAAAAAAAACTCTTAAAACTCAACACTAAGAAATCAACCTGATTAAAAAATGAGCCAAAGGCCTGAACAGACGCCTTCCAAAGAAGATATAAAGATGCTCTATATCACATGTCATTGGGCAAATGCAGATTAAAACAACGATGAGATGCTATTAACCCTGCGTACCTGCTATAGAATGGCCGAAATCCACCTCAGTGACAACATCGAATGCTGGAGAGGGTGGAAAGCAGCAAGAACTCTCAGTCGTCATCGGTGGGGATGCAAAACGGTGCAGCTTGGCGAGGCCTGGCAGTCGGAAGGCAGTCTGGCCATTTCTTACAAAACTAAACATACTCTCACCATATACCAGCCAGCAGTCGCGCTCCTTGGTGTTTATCCAAAGAAGCTGAAAACTGAAAAGTTCACGCAAAAACCTGCACGCAGGTGTCGACAGCAGCTTTATTCGTAATTGCCCGAACTTGGAAGCAACCAAGATGCCGTTGGGTAGGTGAAGGGGTACGTAAATCGTGGCACGTCCAGCCAATGGAACATGACTCAGCACTAAAAAGAAATGAGCTGTCAAGCCGTGAAAAGACACGGGGGAAACTTAAACGCATGTTACTGAGTGAAAGAAGCCCATCTGAAATGGATACACACTGTGATTCCAACTATAGAATGTTCTGGAAAAGGCAAAACTACGGAGGCAGTGAAACGATTGGTGGCTGCCAAGTAGGGAGGACAGAGGGATGAATATGTGACGAACAGAGGAGTTTCAGGGTAGTGAAAATACAGTTGACCTTTGAACAACTCGGGGCTTAGGGGCACCAACCCCTCCGCCGACATACACACAATTGAAAATCTGTGTATAACTTTCGACTCCCCCAGAACGTAACCACTAATAGCCTACTGTTGATGGGAAAAGCCTTACAGATGATATAAACAGCCAATGAACACATTTTTTTTTTTTTGAGACAGAGTCTCGCTCTGTTGCCCCGGCTAGAGTGAGTGCCGTGGCGTCAGCCTAGCTCACAGCAACCTCAAACTCCTGGGCTCAAACGATCCTACTGCCTCAGCCTCCCAACTAGCTGGGACTACAGGCATAAGCCACCATGCCCAGCTAATTTTTGCTATATATATTTTCAGTTGTCCAGCTAATTTCTTTCTATTTTTTTTTTAGTAGAGACGGAGTCTCGCTCTTGCTCAGGCTGGTCTCGAACTCCTGAGCTCAAACGATCCGCCCGCCTCAGCCTCCCAGAGTGCTAGGATTACAGGCGTGAGCCACCACACCCGGCCTGAACGCATGTTTTGTATGTCCTGTGTATCGTGTGCAGTATTCTTACAGTAAAGTAAGCTAGACAAAAGATAATGTCATTGAGAAAATCATAAGAAAAAGAAAATACATTTACTATTCACTAAGTGGAAATGGATCGTCATAAAGGTCTTCATCCTCATCATCTTCACATGGAGTAGGCTGAGGAGGAGGAGGAGGAAGAGGAAGAGGAGGGGTTGGTCTTGCTGTTTCAGGGTGGCAGAGGTGGAGGAGGGAAGGGAAGCAGGCAGACTCAGTGTAACTTTTATTGAAAAAAATCCATGTACAAATGGACCCATGAGGGTCAAGCCTATGCTGTTCAAAGGTCAACCAGACTCTGCATGACACTGTAATGGTGGACACATGTCATTATACATTTGTCCAAACCCATAAAATGAATAACAGCAAGAGTGAACCCTAATGGAAACTATGAACTCTGGGTGCTAATGGTACCTGAATGCAGATTCATCGATTGTAACAAACGCGTCCCTCCGTTGTGAGACGTTGGTAATGGGGGAAACTGTAAATGTCGGGGACAAGGGGCGTGTGAAAACTCTCTGGCTCTTCCGCTCAATTTTGCCATGTACTAAAACCGCTCTTAAAAAAACAAAGTCTTGGCCAGGCGTAGTGGCTCATGCCTGTAATCCTAGCACTCTGGGAGGCCAGGGCGGGAGGATCGCTTGAGCTCAGGAGTTTGAGACCAGCCTGAGCAAAAGCGAGATCCAGTCTCTACTTAAAAAAATAGAAAAATTAGCCAGGCACAGTGGTGCGCACCTGTAGTCCCAGCTACTCGGGAGGCTGAGGCAGGAGGATCACCTGAGCCCAAGCGTTTGAGGTTGTGGTGAGTTATGATGACGCCACTGCACTCTAGCCTGGGCCACAGAGCAAGACTCTGTCTCAAAATAAATAAATAAAGTGTTTAAAAAATGTATTCATCTTGTTGACTGAGATTTTCAGCGCTGCCTTAAATTTTGCACCAGAAAGGGTGCCTCACCTGTCCCTGCCTCAGTGGACACCCAGCCCACATCCTCCATGTGGTTCTGCCAGGCAGAGCCCCTATCCCCAAACCCTTGGGAACTCAGGCTTGGAGGAGGATATTGTCTCTGACTCCCGTGGGGAGTGGTGTCATGCATGCTATCCCTCAGCGTCCTACTTCCTGAGCCTCCGGTGTGTGCCCAGCCAGAGTCCCCAGTGGAGGACAGCTGGTATGTGAGCAGGCCCCTGTGGTGGCCTGCAGGGGAATCCCAGGCCTAGCTCAGTCTGGGCATTCTCAGACCCGCCCAAGTCCCGCCCAATGCTGAGCCCTCTGCCAAGCGGGTCTCCCGGAAACTCCCCTGGCTGGTTTTGGGGTGGGAGGCCCACAGGGAAGCAATTTACATACGCGGTGGCCCAACCACATCAGCCCGCCCCACCTGACGCCCCACCTGACTCCAGAATAAAGGGGAGACGGACCCACTCTGCAGGACTCAGCCACGGGTACCAGGGAAGAGGAAGGACCCCTCACTGCCACGCCAAGTAAGCCCAGAAGTCAGCTCCCAGGACAAAGCCAGGGTCCTTAACACCCAAGCCCGAGCCCTACTCTCAGCTACCTCTGGTGGCTTGGGATCAGGGCCTGGAACCGGATGAGAGGCGATATCTCCTGGTCCCTGTGGGCTCAGAGCAGGCCTCGGTGAAAACAATCCCCCGCCCCGCACCCTCCTCTGCCTGAGCCCAAAGTGTTGGATGCAAAGAAACCGGGAGGCAGCGCCAACTTGAGGCCCAACTTCTCTCCCCTCCCCCAGCAAACCTGGTCTTACCAGTCAAGCGAGCCGGCAGCTGAGAGTCCCCTCTGGTGGCCAGCAGCAGCTACAGAGCTGTCACTGTAGGGAGGTGGCAGGGCTTGCAGGATTGGCCTCAGTCTACCTGTCCCAAGAATGGGCAGAGTTTGCTGGAGTCTGAACTTTCTGGCCTCCAGATCCCTCCTACTACGGGTCTGGCTTACTGATCCTTTGTCTTAGCCCAAGAGGGACAGGATAAGCTGGGGGAGACCTTGAGTCTCAGATGACCTTGACCCAAGACACCCTGCCCCGTACCCCTACTGCCTCCGACCCACAGCTCTGCGAGAGGCGGCTCTGCCATTCACCGTTGGACTTTGACCGTGGCCGGAAGCTCCGCTCAGGCCTCCAGGAGTGTCTCCTTCCAGAACTGCCAAAGTTCTCCACGGAGGTCAAGCGGGTATGTCCCCTGGAAGCTGGAACCCCGCAATGACGGTCCAGGGTGTCCTCTGGATTCTGCTCGGATTGCTGCTGTGGTCAGAGCCAGGGACAGGTGGGTCCAAGGGCAGAGGCCCGGGGCCAGGACTGTCACTCCGTAGAAGGGTACCGCTGCTTTCTGTGTCTGGCAGTGTATGGGGTGGGGCCAGAGACCCTGGGATGCCCCAGCTCTCAGGTAACCTCCAGTCTGGGGATATAGATGTTCCCAACCCCATAGGGTCAGGGCAGGGGTTGGGGAGAAGGACCTGGGGCCTGAGGAGCAAAAATAAGGAAGGCTTCCTGGAGGAGGAGACATAGACAGGAACTGTTGAATGGTGTTTGGTGGAGAAGCAGGAAAGGGCATTTGGGCCGGAGAAGAACAAAGCTATAGAGGAATGACTGTGTGGACTGTCTGGAGAAGAACCTGGATTCCACACAGCAGAGTGTGGAGATTAAGACTTCCTGGGTTCAAATCCTGCCTCTGCCGCTTCCTTGCTGTGTGACCTTAGGCAGGTAACTTAACCTCTCTGTGCTTCAGATAGCTTATCTGTAAAAGGGGGCTTGTCTCAATCCATTTGTGTTGCTATATCAGAATACCTGAGGCTGAGTAATTTGTAGAGGACAGACATTTATTTCTGGACAGTTCTGGATGCTCGGAAGTCCCAGATGCCAACCCCTTGACCTTGGGCTTCCCAGCCTCCAGAACTGTGAGAAATACGTTTCTGTTCTTTATAAACTACCCAGGCTCAGATATCCTGCTACAGCAGCATAAACAGATTAAGACAGGGGCTACTAGGACCTACCTCACAGGGGTCATAAAGATTGAACGAGCTGTTATATAAGTCACCTAGGGCGGTACGTGGAATATAGTAAATGTTTGCTGAACGTTAGCTATTATTTAACTACCCGTCCTGGACGCGGCTCTGGGCCAGGTGACCTAACACTTCTAGGTTCCAGGTTCAGCCACTGAGTCCCCCACATGGCACAAGCCCACCCTGCTCCTCCCCCTGGGCATTCTTCCAGTTACCTTTCATGCTAACATCCCCAACTCCAAATCCAACACCAAAAACTGTCCATCTTTCCCCCTCGAGATTTGGGGACTCTCCCCACTTTTGTCCACTACACTGCCACCACCTGCCTTCAGCCACTGTCACCACTCACCTCCCCGCTGTCTCCCCTTCTCCACCCTGAAAATCCATTTCCCTTTGGCAGCCAAAAAAACCATCTTAGAATGCCAGCCTGGCCATGTCCCTCTCCTGCTCATAAACCTGCTATGGCTCCCCAGTGCTCACAGACAGTCTAAGCTCCTTAAGCAATAGGCAACAGTCTGTGTGCCTCAGTTTCTTCACCTATACAAGGACAGGGATGGGGGTCTTGGGGTTGTCAGATGGAGATATGGGGGCATGGGGAAGATGTGGAATCGGACCAGGAGGCTCAGGAGTGAGTGGGGCTGGGCTGCAGGGCTAACGCATTCTCTCTTCCTGCAGCTTCTCTGCCTCTGAGTATGGACTCTGTCATCCGGGTCCTGACGGAGCTCGAGCAGAAGGCACCGGCCGCCGAGCCCAGCCACAGCACCGCCGCGTGGATGCTGTCGGTGCAGAGCGCTGGCCCCCACAGGCACTTCTACCACCTCCTGCTGGGCGCACAGAGCTTCGGCGCTGCCAAGCTGGGTCCCTACCCACTGAGCCCAGAGCTGCAAGGCCTGGCTGAGGAGGTATCCCAACATGGTGTATGGGGCGGGCAGGAATTCGGGGTCGTGCTGGCACCCGATGGCTCGACCGTTGCCGTGGAGCCCCTGCTGGTGGGGCTGGAGGCAGGGCTGCAGGGGCGCAGGGTCGTGAACTTGCCCTTGGACAGCACAGCTGCCCCTCCGGATGGGGAAGCCTCCTTTCCAGATGTTGGAGCCACCGCTCCAGAAGTAACAGCCATCTCCCCAGGACTCAGGGGTGCCTCTCCAGATGTCACCTCTGCAGATATCGGAGCCATCTCTTCTCCAGATGCCAGAACTCCAGATGTCCCAGCATCCTTGGCAGATGCCAAAGCCGAGTCTCCGGCTACTATAGACAGCCTCCTAGCAGTCACCCTGGCCAGAAAACTGGGCCTGACCTTCCTCCAGGCCCCCCAGACCCAGAGCCGTCCAGGTCTGGGAACTGAGGGTTGCTGGGACAAGCTCTCTGACCCCCGGATCTTTACACTCCTGGACCCCAAGGCATCAGTGCTCACCGTGGCCTTCCTCAATGGTGCCCTGGATGGGGTCCTCCTTGGAAACTACCTGAGCCAGACCCCTGAGCCCCGACCACCTCTCAGCAGCCTGCTGTGCCAGTACTATGGAGCTGGGGTGTCTGGAGACCCAGGACTCCGCAGCAACTTCCGACGGCAGAACGGGGCTGCTTTAATTTCAGCCACCACCCTGATCCAGCAGGTGTGGGGGACCCTTGCCCTGCTACAGAAGCTGGAGCCAGTACACCCCCAACTACAAGGCATGAGCCAAGAACAGCTGGCCCAGGTTGCCACCTATGCTGCCAAGGAGTTTACTGAGGCCTTCCTGGGTGAGGAGCCCCCTCCCATCCCCTGTGACCCTCCCTCTCACAGATTCATACACTCTCAGCCCCATGTGGTCAAGGGAATTCAAGGGTAGGAAGTCCAAAGGGGGCAATAAATGCTATGGTGGGGGTGGGGTGGGGCAGGACAGCTGTACAGATGAGGAAAAGCTACAGTTGGGCTTTAAGAGATGAATAGGAGTTCATCTGATTTTTTTTTTTTTTTTTTTGAGACTGGGTCTTACTCTGTCACCCAGGCTGGAGTGCAGTGGTGCAATCATAACTCATTGCAACCTCAGCCTCCTGGGCTCAAGTGATCCTCCTGCCTCAGCCTCCTGAATAGCTGGGACTACACGCAATGCCACCCTGCCCAGCTAATTCTAATTTATTTTTTATTTTTTATATAGACCGGCTCTTGCTCTGAGGCTGATCTCAAACTCCTGGCCTCAAATGATCCTCTCACGTCAGCCTCTCAAAGTGCTGGAATTACAGGCATGAGCCACTATGTCCAGTCTGATGTTTTGTTTTGTTTTGTTTTTAATGAGGAAGAGGTCATTCCAGGTGGTGGGCTCAGCATATGCAAAGGCACAGAGGTTCAAATGGAAGTTCAGCCAGTTATTCCTGTGCACCTTTAGGCCAGCTGCTTCACTTCTCTGAACCTCATGTAAAGCTGGATAAATCATTGCTCTCTCTTGGATTTGCTGGGTGGTTTAAAAAGATGAAGCATGTGAAGCAAGTAGCACACAATTGGACTTCCTTCTCCATGTCCTTCCTTCCCCGTGTGGCAGCTGGAGAAAGCACTGGGCCCTGGGTTGTAAACGGTCAAAATTCTTGGGCTTTATCCTGAAGGGGATGGAACCCATAGTGGATATTCCAACAAGACTGGGATGCTGTTAGATTTAGTTTAGTTAGTTGGTCCCCAGTAGGGACCAGTGTGGGGACAGACTGGACTCTTCTCAAATTTACAAGGACCCCGGAGGATGGGCCATATGTACCCTTTAATGGGGATGCAGGCGCAGGCAGAGAAACGCTTGCCGACCCCAGCCTTGGCCCCCCTTGTTCGTAGGATGCCCGGCCATCCACCCCCGCTGTCGCTGGGGGGCGGCACCGTATCGGGGCAGCCCAAAGCCACTGCAGCTGCCGCTCGGGTTCCTGTACGTGCATCACACGTACGTGCCCGCACCACCCTGCACGGACTTCGCGCGCTGCGCAGCCAACATGCGCTCCATGCAGCGCTTCCACCAGGATACGAAGGGATGGGATGACATCGGCTACAGGTGGGCGGAGCCAAGCCGGGTCGTGAGCGGGGCCGACGCGAAGGGGTGGGGTCTGAGCGGGCGGGGTCTGAGCGGGCGGAGCCTGACTCAGGGGACGGGGCTTGAACCCGAGGAAAGCAGGCGGGAAGGAGGAGGAGGCTGAGATGGGTGGAGTCAAGCTGGAGAGGCGGCATGGCCTAGACTGGGGGCGGGGCCTTGACAGGGGCCATGAATCACGACACGGTGGGACTCTTGGGTCAGGGGAGAGAACTAGGACTGGAGGGGACCTGGGAGAGGGGCGGGGCCTGGGGCGGGGTCTGAGTCTGGGGCGGGACCGTGATGGCCTAAGACAGAAAAGGGCAAGAATTGGGCAAGAACTGGACTTGAGAAAAGGCGGGGGGAGAGGGGAGGGGAGGGAAAATGGGTGTGGCCAGTGCTGAGGGGCGGATCCGAGAGACAGGACCGGAGCTGGACTTGGCAGAGGCGGGGCCGCCGCGCAGGACTTGGGGTCGGCGGCCCTGGGCACAAGGCCGGGATCCGGCCGGGGCATCCCTCACGCCGCGCGGTGCCTCCTTCCCGGTCCCCTCCGCAGCTTCGTGGTGGGCTCCGACGGCTACGTGTACCAGGGCCGCGGCTGGGATTGGGTGGGCGCGCACACGCTCAGCCACAACCACCTCGGCTTCGGCGTGGCCTTCGTGGGCAACTACACGGCGGCGCTGCCCACCGAGGCGGCGCTGCGCACGGTGCGCGACGTGCTCCCGAGTTGCGCAGTGCGCGCCGGCCTCCTGCGGCCCGACTACGCGCTGCTGGGCCACCGCCAGCTGGTGCGCACCGACTGCCCCGGCGACGCGCTCTTCCACCTGTTGAGCACCTGGCCGCACTTCACAGCAGTGAGTCCGCTCTGCCTGCGCTACCCAGCCAACCTTGGCATCGCCCCTACCCGTGCCCAAAGGCCTTCTGTCCGTACACCACCAGCCTACCCTGCGACCCTTTGCCCGCACAGCCTCTGTCCAGCCCCTACCCTGTGTTGCAATCCTCTGCCCAGACAATCTCAGCCCTGAGGATGGTTGTTCAGCTCCTGAATCCCTGACCCCTGATGACAGCTCTTAGGCTGGAGCAACCTAGGCCCAGCCAGCACAACGCTGGCCTGGTGACCTCATCCAAGCCCCTGACCCTCATCACGAAAACACCTCTCTAATCACACCTGGATAATCTCACGCCACCTGCCGCTCCATTTCCTTAAGCTATTGATCTGCCCCTCCTGGCCCTCCTGCAGTTGGCTTTGTCCCCACTCCTTCACTTTGGGCTCCTGTCCCCTCCCCCATCCAGGGTTCCACATCGAGGAGGGCAGACCTAGCCACCTCCCACCCCAAGCCTCACACTCCCTTGTCTTTTCTAGACTGTGAAGCCAAGAACTGCCAGGAGGACCTCTCAGAGGTCCAGGAGGGAGCCGCCCCCCATGATCCTGTCAACCACAGAGCTGCAATAAAGAGGCCATGGAAAAGAAAGTCTCTGTACATGCATCATGTGTGTTTGCACACGTTGTCTTAGTCGGGGTTTGCCCAGAAGCAGACCTTGGGGCAAAGATTCCAGGACAAGTAGTTTATCAAGAGGTGATCTCAGGACATATCAGCTAGGGAATGAGGTACCGGGGCAGGGAAGGGAAAGCAGCCAGGAAAGGAGGCATTATCTAGTAAGTTTCCACTGTGGGCAACCAGAACTCAGTCCCACTGGGAGCTCTGGGAGAGAACATAGGACACATATCTCAGAGCCATCCCACTCAAGGGGCGAGAGAGCTGGGGTGTTTATACACTAATTCCCATCAGTAATTAGTTGAGGGCTGCTCTTGGGGACATGTTAATTCATTGGCACTTTGGGGCTGCTTGTTACATGGGCACAATGGACTCCATTTGCCAGATGCAAATGGTTGCAAATGTCACTTCCTCAGGGAAGCCCTCCCTGATTTTTCCAACTCAAAGAGAAGCACTTCTGCTCAGCCTATACTCCAGTCTGCCTATTTCCTTCCAAATCCTCTTCACCAGCTAGAAATGTCCCATGCTTGAGTTGGGGATCTCTCTCCCTGACTGTTCTGTATGTGAGCTCTTAGGAGGACGGGAACCAAGTTTATCTAGTCCCCCACCCCATGGCTTCTCCAGCCCCTAGCACACAGTAGGCACTCAGGAAATACTTGTTTAACTAGAGAAAGGCTCGCATGATGCACTTTTTGAAACTGATATTATCATCTTGTACAAACAAGCAAAGCAAGGCTCAGAGAGGAAGTGACTTGCCTGAGGTCACACTGAGAGGGGCCAACTGGCACTCAAACCCACTCTGTCTTTTTCTGGCTCCTGGAACAGAATTGTGCTGACTCATCTATTCCTCAGAACAGCATTTACGCACTTCTCTCTACCTCTTTCTCTCTCTCTCTCTCTCTCTCTCTCTCTCTTCTTTTTTTTGGAGGGGTGGGGGAGACAGGGTTTCGCTCTGTAGTCCAGACTGGAGTTCAGTGTCATGATTATAGCTCACTGCAGCCTTAAACTCCTGGTCTCAAGCGATCCTCCCACCTGAGCCTCCAAGTAGCTGGGACTATAGGCTCAAACTACCATGCCCGGCTACCCACCTCCCTTTTCAAGTAAAGATTTATTGAGGCATAACAGAGACACAGGAAAATGCACCAAAATATATAGTATCGTGAATTTTCACAACAGGACACACCCATGAAACCAGTACCCTGATCAAGAAATAGAACATATTCAACTTATGTAAATTTCACTTCCATAAATAAAAATAATAATAATAATAAACATGGCCAGCTCCCAGAAGCCCCCTCCCCAGTAACTAGCACCTCCAAAGGAATCCAGTATCCTGATTTGTTAAATATAGTTTTACCTGCTTTGGAACTTTGTGTAAATGGAATCAAACAGCGTGTACCCTTCATTGGTTTTTGGGTTTTGGTTTTGCTCAGCATTTTTTGTGATTCATCCAAGTTCGATTATGCAGTAGTCTGTTTGTTCTCATTGCTGTGTGGAATTCTGCTGGGTGAAGAAACCACAGTTTATTCATTCTACCATCGATGGACATGTGGGTTGTTTCCAGTTTGGGACAATCACGAATAGTGTCGGTGGGCATGTCTGTTGGGTATCTATCCAGCAGTCGAAGTGCTGGGTCAGAGGACGCCCAGCTAACAGTGCTAGTAGATCACAGGTGAATAGGCCCATACTCTGGCCAGCAGAGAGGATGAGAGTTTTAGGTGCTCCGTATTCTCACCAGTATTTGTTCAGCATGGGCCCATTTTACAGAGAAGGCAACTGAGGCTCTGAGGGAGGGGCATTTGCTGCCTCGTGGTCAGTGAGGGATTCTGGGTCCTTCTTGCCAGAAGCCTCTTCTGCCACCTCCTCGCCTCCCTCGCTCTGCCCCCAGCATCCTGCCCTGACTACCCTCCCAGCCTGGCTGCGGGGTGGGGTGGGACAGACAGGGTCACGTGGAGTTGGGTTCAGCGGGAGGAAGCCAGGCAGGGTGCAGACGGCTGCTGATTCTGGGGCTGGTCAGGAAATCAAGGTAAGGGAGGGAGTGCGTGTGAGCCCCAAAGTGGGGTTCCCTGGAGGCAGAACTGAGAATGGGGAGGGGGCCAATATGAGGGCAGTATGTGGGCAGACACTGGGCAGAACTGTCACTTTCTCGTCCCCCAGGAGAACCCCCACCATGGACCCACCGTCGCCAAGCCAGGCCTCCCAAACCCAGCCCACGGCCCCCTCTCTGCTGACTTCCTACCGCTGGCACACAGGGGGCAGCGGGGAGAAGGGGGCTGGAGGGTTCCGCTGGGGCCGCCTCGCGGGCTGGGGCAGAGCACTGAGCCACCAGGAGCCCATGGTCAGCAGCCAACCAGCCCCTCGCTCGCTCTTCCGCCGGGTCCTCTCTGCGCCCCCCAAGGAGTCACGCACCAGTCGCCTCCGGCTATCCAAGACCCTCTGGGGGAGGCACAAGAACCCATCGCTGGAGCCGGAGCTGGAGCCAGAGGCCCCAGGTACGTCACTCAAACACTCTGAGCTTGGGCCGGGCTGGGAAGCCGCATGCTTGGGTTTCGTCTGCCTCCTGAGCATCAGCCCTACAGACACAGGAAGTTGTGGGGAGTGCAAAAGCCCAGCAGGAAGTGGCTGGGGCCCCGCTGCCCTCTTCCCTCTTTCCCCCTAAAGAGGGGTGGGAGGAGTTGCCAGGGACCTGTGGGCAGGGGGGCCCAGACTGAGGAAGGGACAGGGAATAGACCCACGATTGTACTGTCCAGATGCCAAATGGCTCTTGGCCCCAGTGGGTCTCTCCTCCAACCCAATGGGCCAGGCCCACCCATCTCGGCTCCCTCCTACTCTCCTGTCTTCTAGCCTCCCTGTCTTGGTTTCTTCACCTCCCGGAGCCTCAGCTTTCCCATCAGTTAAGTGGGAATAAAGATCCCTACCTTGAAGGGTGTATCATTTCATTCACTCATATTCCTTCACTCCCTCAAGCAGAGGTTTAGTGAGCATATATCGTGTGCTGGGCCCTGATTAGGCATTGAGGACACAGCAGTGAACAAGACAGATGACACTCCCTGCCCCGTGGAGCTCATAGTATGCTGGAGGTGACAGACAGTAAATAAGTCAAGAAGAAGATGACAGATGGTGCTCAGTGTCACACAGGGGGTTCTAGAAGGGTAATGACTATCCCAGGATTAGAGCTCAGGAATGTAGCACTAGCCCAGGGCTGAGCATATTCTAAGTGATCCATTCATAAGTGGGTGTTATTATTGCACCTGGTGGTAAAACAAGGAAATAGATAATCTTCGAGGGTCGGTTCAGCCCTTCCATTTCCTGGAAACTCATTTAATTCTAACCACTCATATTTCCAGTTTGAAAAGGCATCTCTTCAACCCTCTCCAAGGTGTCAGGTATCACCCACTCCGTAGGATCCAGAGGGAGATCTCTAACAAGCAGACCTGCTCCTCACCTGCTCAAATACCTCCCATGGCTCCCACTGCCCCCAGGATAAAACCCCAGCTCCTCCCACTGGCACCCAAGGCCCTGCACCAATGTCTTCCCAAGCCTTCCCCTCCCCAGCTTTTGAGCCCTCAAGCCTCTTTTTGACTTTTTATTTTCCTAGGCCTTGTTCTGTCCCAGTCTTTGCTCCAGCTATTCCTGCCATCTTCCCCTCCATCTCTGCTTGTCATAATCCTACCTGCTGTTCAAGACTCAGTGCAGACTCACTCTCTCTGGGACGCCTTCTCTGGCCTCCCAACAACCTCCTCCCCTTCCCCAAGAAACAGACCTCTCCCTACCCTGAACTTTTTCTGTTCTCTTCCCAAACTTTGAATACTTTCCACCTTAGATTAGTTATCTATGCAAGGAACCAAGACTCCTGTCCTTTTATTGAACCTCTTGGACCTACCTACTGTCTTGATTAAGAGAAGAATGCTTGTGTCTGAAGCCCAGCTCAACCACTCACAAACTTTGTGACCCTGGGCAAGTCACTCGACCTCTCTGGGCCTCAGCGATAAAAGCCCTTTGAATGGCTGTTTGGAGTGTTAAATGAGGGCAGGTGTGTGGAGTGGTAAACACAGTACTGGGCACATAGTAGGTGGTCTGTGTCCACTACTCATGGTGGCTGGTGGGGACAAGGCCCAGAGAGAGGTGAAGATTTGCCTAAGGTCAAACAGTCTGACATGGCTGCTGAGCTTGGGGCAGGCACCCAGGAGGGAGCCCCTGATGAGCCTTAGTAAATGGACAAGGTGTCCTGAGGGAGAGAAAAGCACTCTTAGGTCCCCCAGCACCTCCTCCTCTTCCCAGAGGCGGAGCCAGAGCCGGAGCCCCCTGCCCCACAGATCCCTGAGGCCCCCACACCTGATGTGCCCGTCTGGGACATCGGGGGCTTCACCCTGCTCGATGGGAAGCTGGTGCTGCTTGGGGGCGAGGAGGAGGTAAGAGAGGGCACGAGGGCAGGGGAGGGAAGGAGGAAAAGGGGGGGATGGAACAGAGGTGGGGGTGGGAGCGAGGATAATGGGGGGTGTCTGCCTCCCCTTTCTGACTGCCCACTTCTTTGGGGAGCAGGGTCCTCGTAGGCCCCGAATGGGAAGCGCTAGCTCTGAGGGCAGCATCCACGCGGCCCTGGGGAACCTCAGGGATCCAGGTAAGCACGGAGGGTGTAAGGGGCTGGGGCACTGGGGAGCCTCTCAAGGTGGGACAGAACTGAAGACAATTCGAACCTCTCGTCTCCCACCTCTGATGACCCACAGATCGGATTCCTGGAAAGACCGAGCCGGAAGCTGCTGGCCCCAACCAGGTCCACAACATTCGGGTGAGGCGGCCAGTGGGAGGTGGGGAAGGCAAAGACCCCCAGATGCTCAGAGCTGGGTGATCTGGGGCAGGTCATTGACCCTCTCTGGGCCTCAGAGTCCTTTCTGTCACATGGCAATAAAGGGAGAGCTTTCCTCTTAGGCTGTTGGTGAGAAGTCAGTAGAGAATGCAGGAAAGCACAGGGTTTGACCTTGGTCCCCAAGACCAGCAGATCCCCTGGGACACCCCAGGAGGGAAGGATCTGAGGAAGGACCACAGGGTTCTGCCCAGGTGACATCCCCTCCCCCACAGGGGTTGCTCAAGAGGCTGAAAGAGAAGAAAAAGTCCAGGTCGGAGCTGGGGGCCAACGTCTCCCGGGATGGGTAAGGGTCTCCGAGAGGCCGGAGGGGCTGGGGGGGTCAACCTTGCCCTCTCCTCCTCCCCCTGCCTGTCATTCTGAGCTTCACCAAACATCCCCTGTGGCCACCTCTGTGTTCTGCCCCATGTCAGGTGACGCTAGGGCCACTGAAAGACCCTTGCATGGAGCCAGCCCTTGGTGGAGGGGTGGGGACAGAGTCTGACCCAATAACTCTAAAATGGAGTGGGTGCTGAGTCCACACCCTGGTCTGGGAGGGACAGGATCCAATTTATGTTCGAGCCCGTCTTGGCCTTCCTCTACCCTCCCTTCAGGCTGTGGGAGGTGGGGAGGAAGAGGGAGGAATGACCGCTTGCTCACCTGTCCCCTGCCCAGACCCCCCAGTGCTCTGGGCTCTAGGGAATCGCTGGCCACACTCTCCGAGCTAGACCTGGGCGCTGAGCGGGACGTGCAGGTCTGGCCAGTGCACCCCAGCCTCCTGGGGGAGCCCCACTGCTTCCAGGTAAGTGCAGACCACCCTCCACCTCGGTGTCACCTCTGACCCTTTGTCTCCACACTCGGACTCAAACACACCCTTGGATTCTCCTCCCCAACAGGTAACGTGGGCGGGCGGAAGCCGCTGCTTCTCTTGTCGCTCTGCCGCTGAAAGAGACCGCTGGATCGAGGACCTTCGTCGCCACTTCCAGCCCACCCAGGTCATTGCCCCAGAAAAGTGGGACACGGAAACCCAGCCCACAGGACTGGCCTGCCCTCTCCATTCTGCCCAAGCCCAGCTGGCTCTATAGCCGCCACCAACACACCTGCCCCGCCTACACCTTTGCAACCTCTCCAAGACTCCCCTTCCACCTACTATCACACCGGCGCCTTCTATTCAGTTGGTGCCCTGCGTGTACCCAAAGCCCTAGCTGCCAGGTAGTCGCGAAGTTCTCACTCGGCGACTACTCTTCCATACCCTGGAGCCCCGATCTAAGGCTTCCACTTGGCCACCTCGGGACTTCCGTGGCCCTATCCTTTTTCCCCAAGGGCCCAGCGATCTCCCCGGGGACCTGGCGCACCAGGTTCGACGCCCGGCTCTTCACCTGCGGTGTCCCCCTTGGAGCGCCAACGCCTCTGAAACGCTTCTCCCGTCCCACTCCCATCTGCAGGACACCGTGGAGCGGGAAGAGACGTGGCTGAGCGTGTGGGTTCATGAGGCGAAAGGGCTTCCCCGGGCGGCGGCGGGGACACCCGGCGTGCGCGCCGAGCTGTGGCTGGACGGCGCGCTGCTGGCGCGCACTGCACCGCGGGCGGGCCCCGGCCAGCTATTCTGGGCCGAGCGCTTCCACTTTGAGGCGCTGCCTCGGGCGCGTCGCCTGTCGCTGCGGCTGCGCGGCGCGAGCCCGGGGGTCGCGGTGCTAGGCCGCGTGGCGCTGTCGCTGGAGGAGCTGGAGGTCCCACGCGCGCCTGCCGCCGGCCTGGAGCGCTGGTTCCCGCTGCTCGGGGCGCCGGCGGGCGCAGCGCTGCGGGCGCGGATCCGGGCGCGACGTCTGCGCGTGCTGCCGTCCGAGCGCTACAAGGAGCTGGCGGAATTCCTCACCTTCCACTACGAGCGCCTCTGCGGGGCTCTGGAGCCCGCGCTGCCTGCGCAGGCCAAGGAGGAGCTGGCGGCCGCCTTGGTGCGCGTGCTGCGGGCCACCGGCCGGGCACAGGTGCGTCGCCGCGACGGAGCGGACCAGGGTGACCCGGGGTGGACGGATAGCGCCCTCTGGGGTACAGGACCTGAGTTGCACCTGTAAGGGGCGGGGCACCTTGAAGGGCGGGACCTGAGCTTCAGCTGCGAGGGGCGGGGCCTGAATTGCACCTGTAAGGGGCGGGGCCTCAACTGAGCCTCCCCGCTAAAAGGCTTGTTTCTGTTGTGAGGGGTGGAGGGTTCCAGCCTCAGTTATAAGCCCCGGTAGTGAGGGGGACAGCTACAAAGGGTGGGACCTGTGCCCCAGGTGCGAGGGACGGGCCAAAGGTCTGGATTCCCACCGAGTCAGTCTGCACCCGGTGCAATATGACACCTGCCTTGCCCAGGTACTGGTGACAGACCTGGGCACCGCTGAGCTGGCGCGCTGTGGAGGCCGTGAGGCGCTGCTGTTCCGGGAAAACACATTGGCCACCAAGGCCATCGACGAATACATGAAACTGGTGGCACAGGATTACCTCCAGAAGACCCTGGGTAAGCTGGAGTGGGGGACAGTCAGTGTCAGAGGCCTACTGGGTGGGCTAGGGGACCTGGGAGGAGTTCTAGGAGTCCTTGCGTAACCTGGATTTTGGTAGTGGGTGGTGATTTGGAGGTGCTAGGATCCTGGGGGGAATTGGGAGCTCCCTGAGATGTTAGATGCCTTCAGAGTAAGTTGGAGATAGGCTTAGAGGATGGTGTGGTGGGGTTTGGTGGTCGTGGCCCCCACTCCTATCTGGCTGTGCTGTGCTGCAGGGCAGGTTGTGGGGCGTCTCTGTGCCTCCACTGAGGACTGTGAGGTGGACCCCAGCAAGTGCCCAGCCTCAGAGCTGCCCAAGCACCAGGCCAGACTTCGAAACAGCTGTGAGGAGGTCTTGGAAACCATCGTCCATTCCTATGAGTAAGAATCAGGGGCACAGCACCTGAACCCACCCCTGCCTGTCATGCTAACCCCAATTAGGGTTGCCAGATAAAATATAGGATGGTCACTTAAACTTGATGCAATATTTGGGACATACCAAATAAGTAAAGTTTATGTATTAGGTATGTTCCAAATATAAATAAAATTATAATAAATAAAATTATAAAATAAAAATATATATAATATCAATAAAAATTACTCATTTATCTGAAATTCAAGTTTATCTGGGTGTCCTGAAGTTTTATTTGCTTCATCTGGCAACCCTACCCCCAATGCTATGCCACTGGCCCAAGTTAACACAGGACCTCAGTCCTATGACCTTTGCTTCCAGATGATGCCATACCCCTAATCCCATGACCCCTGACCTTAAGTGACCCCATACCTCAAACCCCATGCAACTGATCACAGGAAACCTGGGATTCCAATCCCTTGACCTCTGATCCTAGGTTAACCTGCATGACTAATCCCTGACTTTGATCCAATCCTACTTCATATTGTGCACTCTGGCACCTCAATCTCATGTCCAATAACTGCATCCCAAGCTCATGACCCCTGTTTTCACGTGTCTCTGTACCCCCAACTCTAAGAATATTGTCTCCAGAGAGCACCATAAATACATCATAAGCCATGACCCCCAAGTGGACCCATAACCCCAAGCATCATTGTCTCAGATGTCCCCAATCCTGGAACCCAGATCCCACGTTCATTGAGAAGGAGGCCATATGGGCTTCATAAATAGCCTCCTGGAGGATCATGGACCAGTAATGTATTAGTTTCTGGACTCCTGACCCCTGACCTTATGACCTTGACCTTTATGTCCATAGCCTCCCCCTCTGACCGTTGCCTCTTCTGCCCCAGCTGGTTCCCTACAGAGCTGGGCATGGTGTTCTCAGGCTGGAGAGAAGCATGCAAATCACGTGGCTCTGAGGCGCTGGGCCCCCGACTGGTGTGTGCCTCCCTCTTCCTGCGGCTCCTCTGCCCCGCCATCCTGTCACCCAGCCTCTTTGGTCTGGCACCGGAACACCCGGCACCCAGCCCGGCCCGCACCCTCACACTGATTGCCAAGGTCATCCAGAACCTTGCCAACCGTGCCCCGTAGGTCCTGGGAGGCTGGGAGCCATGCTGGGGGTGTGGGTGTGGCAGGTGCCTGACCTGACCCACCCAGCCTGGTCCCACCTCAGGTTTGGTGAGAAGGAGGCCTACATGGGCTTCATGAATAGCTTCCTGGAGGAACATGGACCAGCCATGCAACACTTCCTGGACCAGGTGGCCATGGTGGATGTGGATGCTGCACCCAGTGGTTACCAGGGCAGCAGTGACCTGGCCCTCCAGTTGGCAGTCCTGCATGCGCAGCTCTGTACGATCTTTGCCGAACTTGACCAGGTGGGGCTTGAACCCAGAGCTCAAGAAACAGGGTAGGGAGGCAAGAAGGCTGGGAGGCTCTGGCCCTGGAGAGCTTTTCAGCATCCTTCCTGCATACCTCACCAGACCACCCGTGACAGCCTGGAACCGCTGCCCACCATCCTGCGAGCCATCGAGGAGGGCCGGCCCGTACCTGTGTCAGTGCCAATGCGTCTCCCCCTCCCCCCAGCCCAGGTCCACACCAGGTAACCTCAAATCTGGTCCAGGTTCTGAAGGGTGGGAGCAGGAGCAGGGCTCAGTCTGGGGTCACAGGTGAAGATGGCTCATGTGAGCAGAGCTCAAGTCCAGAGTCAGACTGGAATCAGAGGTTGCAGAAACGGTCAGGTAAAAGGGTCACATTGTGTTAGAGGTCAGGGATGAGACTAGAGGCTGGATTGGAATCAAGTCCAGGGTCACAGAGAGGACAGGATTTTATCAGAGTCAGAGGTCTAAATATAATCCCATCAAGAACAGGATCACATAGAAGGAAATGACTAGGGGTGAGGTCACTTCTGGTCAGAGATCGGGATGGGTCATCTCAAGGCAAGTTGAAGGTCTGAGCTCCCCCATCCCACCCCCAGCTTCTCCGCAAGGGAAAAGCCCGGCTTCCTGGCCCCCCGGGACCTCCCCAAGCACACCCCTCTCATCTCGAAGAGCCAGTCCCTGCGCAGCGTTCACCGCTCCGCCAGTTGGGCCCGGCCGCTGCCCGACGAGGAGCGGCCACAGCGGAGGCCCAGGCCAGTGCAGCGCACCCAGAGCGTCCCCGCCGGGCGCCCTGCCCGCCGCCGCCCGTCTGCGGGGCCCCGGCCGCGACCCAGAGGCTCCCTGCGCACTAGCCCCGCACCGCGCGGCCGGCCCTGGACCGGGGTCTCCACCTCACTGCCGCGGAAGCCGTCGGTGCCCTGGCAGCGCCACCTGGATCAGCCGCGGGACCGAGACCAGGCGGTGGGCACGCACCGACCTGTAAGCAAGGTGAGGTCAAGCCGAAGTCCTAGCCCAGGGAGGGAGGAGGGTGGGGCCGGACTGGGAAAAAACTGAAGGGCCAGGCAAGTCTGGGTTCAAAAGTACTGAGCTCACTGCGCTGTGTGACCCCAGGCCTAGCCCGACCCTCTCTGAACTTCAGTTTCTGCCTCTGTACAACAGGAGCGATGTTGCCCAACAGGGAAGGGCAGTGATGAGGCTGAGCTCTTGGGCCCGGAAGGTCCAGGTTTCCGGGGAGACGAGGGGGCAGGACCACGGATGAGGTTAACAGCTAGTCTCCCTTCACAGCTGGCAGAGCTGCAGTGCCAGGTGGCTGCGCTGCGCGAGGAGCAGAAAGTGCTGTCCCGACTTGTGGAGTCGCTGAGCACCCACATCCAGGCCTTGACCGAGCAGCAGGAGCAGCTGCGAGGCCAACTGCAGGATCTGGACTGCAGGCTGCGTGCTGGGTGAGTCCCTCCCTCTCCACCAGCTCCTCCCCCTGGTGGGCCTGCTCCAATTAGATTTGCCCAGGCCCCACTTTTTTCAGGCCCCCTGGCTCCCCGTCTGGCTCCGCCTCCTAGTCAGTTCCGCCCAAATCACGCCTGGCACGCCCACGCCTATGTTAGCCACGCCTCCATATGCCTTCCAGGCCCCGCCTCTTATTAAGCCCCGCCCCCAGATGGGCCCTCCTGCTCAGGCTTTCTCGCGACCCTGGCAGGTCCTCTCATCCAGGCCCTGCCTCTCAATCAGCCCCTCCAACCTGTCTGGGAGGACATTGAGATATCCCAGTCTGGATGCTCCTTCACTCAGTCATGACTCCACCCAGGACTGGCCACGTCCCGCCTCCAAGGATTAATTGATTGGTCCTTTCATCCCGATCATTCCAGGCTCTGATCCGACCCTGCTTGAGGCATATTTAGGCCCCGCCCTCCGGTTGGAACAAACCCTGCCTCTGCTCCAAGCTCCGCCCTCTGAATTCCTGGCTGTCCAACCCGGAGCTGGGACTTCCCCAGCCTCTGACCTTCCCCCTCTTGCCCCTGACCCCCACAGGACCTCGGAGTTGGATCCAGAGCACAGCCTCCCAAGAAGTGAAGGGGACAGTCTAAAAAGTCTGGTGAGACTCCTGTCTGAGCCCTGGGGCAGGTCTGGGCCGTCGGAGAGCGAGGGCTGGGGTGCAACCCTCCCTTGGCTCCTAGCCCACTGCCACTGCCTCCCCAGGAGCGCCGCCTGACTGAGATGGAGAAATCTCAGGCCCAGCTAAAGGATGCGGTCCGGAGCCTGCAACTTTCTCCAAGGACGCCCGGGTCCCGGAGCCAGCCTCTGCCCCTCAAAACACCCTGCATCAATGGAGACACCACCTGAGCTGTCCTTCCCACCCCACGTGGTCTGCGAGCGTAGCTGTCTTAGGGGGGTGTCTGACCTTGCCTTAGCCCTACATGGCCTCCAGTGGGGAGTGGTGCTGTAGGTGCCAACCACTCTGGCACTACGAGGCTGCCCAGTAAAGTCTTGATTTCAGTAAAATCAGTGGTTTCTTTGCCCCCCTAAGAATTGCCAATTCTTAGGACTTTGTCCCCCCAACCCCCATCCAGCTCTCCTAAATTCTCCCCTAATTGGAAGTCTCATGGAGGGGGTGCTGTGAGCACAATCTCACCAGCTATGTGACCTTAGGCCTTCCCTCTCTAAGAGCCTCTGTTTTCTCATCTGTAAAATGGCTCTATAGCTCCCTGCACAGTGGAAGACCCATAGTTAAAGGTGTTCAATAAAAGATATTCATCACTGTTATGGGCAGCACCTGCTTCTCAATAAAGCACAGATTCCCTTCCCACCCCCACCTCCTCTACACCCCACCAACTCCCAGGCCACAGATGAGAGAATCTTCCTAGCCCCACCCCCACAAATCCCAACCAGATCCTTCATTGCAGGGAGGGCATGAGGCTGGGAGGTAACAGAAGGGTGGGCAGATGTGGAGATGGTTGAACTCTGGGTGAATGGTTGGGTAAATGAGTCATTTGGATCACGGGTGAGGGGTAGGGTGGATGGACTGGTTAGCATTTGATAGATGTTTGACCTGGTAGGTGAGTAACTGTGTAGGTGGTTAACCAGGATGGATATGTCTCCCTAGAAAAGGCCTGGCTGATGCAGGAAATAAATATTTGAATTGAGTAAGTGATTATGTATAGCATATGTACATTTGCTGAGGTCTCCTCAGACTCTTGAGTTGGGCAGTAGGAAAACAATAATGACCTGGACAGACAGGATTTCTGTCCTTATGGAGCTTATACTCTAGCGGAGAGAATAAACAAACAAACATGCAATTGGTGGACGGACGTTTGGGTGGCTGGGTGGAAGGATGTGTATAGGGATGGTTGGTTACGTGGTTGTATGAATAAATGGGCATTTGCTTGGGTGAATGGGCAGGGAGGTGGAAGTGGATGGTGGGTTGAGTGGGTGTTTGGATGGATGAATAAATAGGTGGTTGGAGGGGTGGATGGATAGGGTATTAGTTGATTGCGTGGGTAGATGAGTGGTTGGTTGATTGAGCACATGAACGAATGGGTGGGGAAATGGATGAGTGGTTGGATGTACCATGTGCAGTGGATAAGAGAAGACGACAGGCCTGTGTTGTGTATGCGATGGGGTAGTTCTGGAAGCTGTGATCCTGGGGTCTGGGTGGAGAAGCGGGGCTTAGCACTGAGGACCTAGGGTAGCTCTAGGGGCATAGAGGTGCTGAAGTCCAGTGTGGATGACGGGGAAGGAAGGAGTGAGCTCGTGGTTGGAAGGTAGCTAATGAGGGGCAGGGACTGGAAGCTACAAAGTGGCTGGGTGGAGCCCTCAATGACCTATCAACGACCCACTGGGGAACTTCTTAGCCCCCTCCCCACTCTTCTAGTACTTTTAGCAAGCCTAGCGTTGGAAGAACCAGTAGGTTGATGAGGAGCCATTGGGGGCGGAAGGACAAGGGTGTTGTCATGGTAACAGAGCTTCTCCCTGGACTCTGGGGCCGCGCGGGCCCTTTAAGGGTGACCCGCCTGGCCACTCCCAACATGGCGGCGCGCCCGCTGGCCGACCCCCCCCCGGGGCGTCGCGGGGGGGCGCCCCGGACCTCCCCATCATGGCGGCGCGGCGGGGCTGTCGCGCTGAGGTCACGGCGGCGCGCCGGGGGGGCGGGGCGGCGGGGGGAGCGATTTAAAGGGACAATGTCCCCCGAGCGGTGGAGGCGGCGGCTGCTGCGGAGGCCGCGGCACCGGCACCGGGAGCGGCAGCAGCGGTAGCGGCAGCGACGGCCGCACCGAGGAGGGGAGCTCTGAGCCCCGGCACCTGGCCGGCGGCGCCGCCTCCCCGGTGAGGCCCGGCCTGGCCTGGGGAGCCCGCGGGCGGGGCGGAGCCGAAGCGGGGAGGGGGAGGCCCGGCCGGCCCGGGCCAGGCGGGAC